ATAATGAATTACATATTTATAAACTACCAAATATATATCTTATTAAATAAAAGAAGTTGTCGTGAAAGGTAACAGTTCAAGCCACTAACAATGTATCTTCCAAATGTGTATATTTAATAACTTCACTCTCATGGTTTTACTGTATTTCTAATTAATTTCCATATGTTAGACGTGTTACTGTGTTGTGTTAATATTTTTTATAACGAATAAAAATCGTATATTATTTTGGACTTTGTAATATTTTTGTAAAAATAAAAATGTTATATTATTTTGGACTTTTGTTTAGTGTTGTTAAATATGTTTAATTGATTTACGTATTAAAAAACAAAGTATTTTATTAACATACATAGATTTATACGTCTAAAATAATTAAATACCTACCATTTAACACTTAAATAATATTTTTATGTTACCGCGACATTACTAATAAATGCAAATATATTTACGAAATACTCTTTATATTATGTAATCTGATATTTAATACACTAGTACAACACTCGTGTATTACACGAGTGCTTTGTTAAGAATTTATTCTTAAATTTTAAAATTAATGAGAAAACTATATTAAATTTAGTTTACTATTTAAAAAAAAATATATTACTATATATTTTAGAATGATATGTGTTATTCATGACTTACATGTGTTATATTCTAGTAGTTTTTATAACTTATATCATATAACTACTTGAAATATAAATATATTAGTTGATAAATAATTTTATTTTTCTAATTAATTTTAAAAATAATTTTATTATTGTTATAAAAATAAATATAAATTATTTTTTTATACATACAATATGGATGTTAAATCGAAGCTCATCAAAAGAAGATTAATTTGATATATTACATATGTAAAACTGATGAAAAATACAAAAGTTACTAACTTTTAAAATATATATACAATACAATAGTTATAATAAGGAATGATATTAAAATGCAATTAATACATGTAACATGACCATAAATTATAATCATATTTATGGTAATTTGAACCTAATTATTTTTTATTTGGAATTAAATTAAAATTTACTCAAGCCTAATAACGAAGCATGTACTTTTGCCACATATGATTCCGAAGCACCAGAAGCAATCACGTAGGCTCAGCTCGTTCTGCATTAATATAGAGGGGGATTATACATATATATGTATAATACTATTTGTTTATTGGATTAATTTAATCGTGATCATATGTTTTAGATTTTTCAATTGTCGTAGAAAATGAATAAAAAAAGTAAAAAAAATTACAAATATGATTATTTATTCATTCATTTATTACGAAGAATGTTTGTGTGATTCATTTTTAAAATATTGTTTTATCTAATTTCAGTATTATTAGATTTAATTGGTATGTTTATAAATTAAATGAAAAATATTCTACAAACATGTTGTTATTTATTTATTTATTATGAAGAATAATTGTGTGTTATTCATTGCGCATGTTTTAAAACATCTTATATCTAATTTCATTATTGTTGGATTTAATATTTTTGTGCAAAATTTAAGATAAAGTTTTAATATTTATGTGCAAAATTTAAGATAATAAAAATTTATAAAATTCAAGCAAGAAGCATACGAACACCTATAATTATTTTAATTTTATAAAGTATAAATTATGAAAATTAGATAAATAATGTAAACTAAATTATTTCCTAAAAAATCTAATAAAATTTTATAAAAATATCTGTCAAGTACGAACGTTCAGTACTTTAATTGTTTTTATTAAAAAAATTAGTCACAATTGATAAACACTTGTCAAATTATTAAATAATGGGGATCAGGATGTTATCGATAAATTAAATAAAAATTAAATAATGAGTGTTGGGTTGTTATCGATAACTAAATAAATACTCCCTCCTATTTTTTTTTTTTTTTTTTTATAAATGTCATTCTAGTTTTTCCAACTATTTGCCAAATAGATGTCGTTTTGGATCTTTTGTACATATTTTTCCATTATTACCCTCATTTAGCCATAATACATTACGTCTTTTCATATTCATTCTTCATTTTTTCTCAAAATATTCATCTATATCTTCATTAAATAAGGTTATTATTGACAAAAAAAAATATTTTTAATTTGTGTGCAACTTCTCAAAACGACATATATTAAAAATAGGAGGTAGTACTAAATAACGGGTGTTAGGTAGTTATCCATAAACTAAATATATATTATTTGAGGTAGTTAAAATTAATACAAATATGTGAAGACTTTCCAAAAATAGTAAGAGTGTTGAAGATCCCACATAAAACTTTCTAAAAATGACATGTGAGTTGCCTAATTATATACTACCTCCTATTCTTTTTAAATGTCGTTTTAGCATTATCAACTATTAGCAAAATAAATGTCGTTTTGGATATTTTGTACATATTTTTTCATTATTACCCTCATCTAGCTAATAAATACACTACGTCTTTTCATATTCACTTTTCATCTTTTTTCAAAACATTCATCTCTATCCTTATTAATGAGGGTTATTATTGACAAAAAAAATATTCTTAATAAGTGTGCAACTTCTCAAAACGACATCTATTAATATATAATAAGAATTAACATAATTCATTTTTAGAAATACTTTCCCGCCAATTTCATTAATTATTGTCTAAGAATAGTAAATTAACAAAATATCTATTTATTAGCATACCTTTTTTATCCAATTTTTTTTAGGAATACAATAAAAAATATGGAATCAAAATCAAAATAAATCTAAGAAATACACTTACCATACTTAATACACTTAATTTAAGAGATATACTTACCATATATATTTTTAAAAAATTTTAAAATACAATATAAAACATTTAATTATTAATTGTCAATTAGAGATTCTTTTTAAGAATCAATCATATTTTTAATTTGTTAGAAATAATTTATATATATATATATATTAGTATTTACGTGAAAATAACATATATATTATTTATATGTTAACATATATATTAATCATATATAATAAGGATTAACATAAATCAAATTTAGAAATAATTTCCCGCCACTTTCATTAATTATCTCCTAAAAATAGTAAATCAGA